AGGACAAGAAGAACAAATACCGAAACCTAGGCCAGGCTTTCAAACCATTTATCCTTAGCCAAGGAGGCCTACTGGGAAAGGAGACCTCGCAGACCTATAAGGAGCTGCAACAGTCCTTCTCTCCTAGTATAGCTGAATGGCTAGACAAGTACATCTCTACTTTACTTGTCCGACTCCGAGCCCGGAACTGGATGGGATACGGGATTAACTAACACTACACGATCTAAAGAAGGTAGACCACCTGTTTCCTTACCGCACCTAGGTTTCTAAGTTTAGGAGCATAATATAGCTTATATAGTATTGTATCGAAGTTCTGCAAACCCTAACCCTAAAACCCACAATTCCCTATTTGCTCCATTTCGAAGCAAATGGTTTGTTTGGCCATGGAGTCGCTCTTGCGTGACCCAACTCCAATGATGATCGAGCGCAATTGCGACGCTGCGAAACAGTTTGAAGACGAGCTTCAGAAGCTGCTGCCGAACCTCAAATGCGGTGGTCAAGACGGTGTCACGGTGCCTGATCTGTATAACATGCAGTCGGGAATACGCGACTACTGGGCGCTGTGAGTTTGCTTGTCGTTACTTGCTCAGAATGAAAGCTCATACGATTGTCTACAGGACCACTCTTTGGGGCGCTCGTCCTGATGACAAGTTTTCCTTGTTGCACGATGCTCCACAAGCGCTTGATCGGATCAAGAGCTATCACTTTGCTCCCGGCACTGAGTACTCGTACTCCAACGTAAACTTCCACGTACTTGGCCGAATCATGGAGAACGTGTCAGGACTTTCCCTGGCTCAATTGCTTACGCAGAGATTATTCATCCCTGCAGGAATGAAGACAGCCAGTCTTTGCGCAAACACAAACGGATTGCCCCTACCAATTGTCGGCTACGAAGGAAACGACAAGGTAGGATATTTTGCCGCAACCAATCGTATCGAGTGGGGTGGTGATGCTGGCATCGCTGCCTCACTCGAAGACATGATCGCCTATGAGATCTATCTAGATCGCAGCCTGTCAGATGGTACAGGCCTGTACGCACAAACCTCCAAGGAGCAAAAATTTCGCGATGGCACGCCAGCTGGCTACGGATACGGACTCAAGCGATTCAAGGTCGCTGGCCAGTCCGGAATTGGACATGGCGGCGCACTTCGCGGCTTCCGACACTTGAGAGTGCACATCCCATCAGAGCGCCTCTCTGTGGTTGCCATGCACAATTTCGAGACTTCGCCAGCTGTTCCTCTCGAGTTTATCGTAAAGAAAGTTTGTGATGCTCAAGAGCCCGAACCTCAGACGATCAACGTGCCTGCTGCTTGGAAAGGGCACTTCTTTGACGAAGAAACTCAGCTCTATGTCGCAGTCGAAGAAGGCAACAGAGAGAAGCCCGGAACTATTTCAGTCAGCTATGGCCCTGGCACTGCAGGCGAAATCGCTAGACTCGTTTCGGAGACTGAAGCAAAGTCAGATGGCATGAAGTTAACCCTCGATGGAGATGTCCTTCACGTCGAACGAAACGACGATAACAGAATTCTGAAGGCTGTACGACTGCCACACGTGGACAAGAAAGATCTTGGTCAGACGTCCAGCGCGGGTGTTGTCGGAGTGTACAGAAGCAAGGAAAGTGACAGTGTTTTCACAGTGTCCGGAGAGCGTGGCAGGCTGTACGGCTCTTTCGATGGCTTCCTCGGACGTGGACCTATCTGGATGATGCGACAGATTGGCACGCAGCAGATCTGGGTTTTGGGTAACCCACGAGGTCTTGATTCAACTCCGCCAGGTGATTGGACTGTGGTTTTCAAGGACGAAAAGGATGGCATGTACAACAAAGTAACGGTTGGCTGCTGGCTGGCTCGCAAGGTTGAATATGTGAGGGAAGAGTAGTCGCATTGACTCCGTGGGTTCAATAGACACGGGGTAATCGTCCGATGCTTCGATTGCATACGGATATTTTGTCTGGCTGGTACCATGTTGTGGATGCTACGTAGAGTAAGCGGCATATCTGTCAGTAGTCTCTGTTCCATCAGATGAATCATCAATTGAGCAGCTTGGTGAAGACACGTTGATCACATCACAAGAAGCAGACAAGAAATCCTAGGTGTCTTGTTGTAGTGGCTTGAGTCAAGGTACGCTAGAATAGGTGGATAATGAATAAGATAGTCACTTGATGGTACTGCCGAACAACCGAAATGGCAAGCAGTCGGGTGCTCGCCCGAGGAAACAGGCTGCTTGGCGAGCAATAGTCAGTCACAGCCAAGAGGCGCCTTGTGGATTATCATGGTATAAAAGCCTTGGCACCAGTTCGACGTCAGTCGCTCCTGCAGATCACGATGAGAAGTTGGAGAACCTATGCGAGGGAAGTCAGCAGGTTGGTCAATTCACGTTGCGACTTGTTTTAGGCCACGAGAACGTGTGGGATATGAGGTATGCCCAGCGTAGGATTCAGGAGACCAAGAGACAGAGTCATGCGATCGAGTAAAGGTCGTCCGTCGCCAGCAAAGTCTTTGACTACCATCACAGCACTCAAGAAACTCTCTAACAGGAAATGGCATCGACAACCAGCTGCTCAGCAAGTGCAGGGGCATCGTGCCCGACTGCATCACCAGTGTGCTACATCAGCGCACAAGAACCTCTCTACAATCTCACAGGGCTCGGAGGACAGACAGTGTGTCAAATCGGCCTACCACCAGAAACAGCGAATTCAAGCATTCTCAATGACTTGGCGCAATGTTGTATGGACAAAGACACATCCAAGATTCGCGTCCAAAATGACTGCGTGCATTATTGCGCATCGGGATCGGACGAGACAGACTTCAACAAGTGCCTCCACCAATTCTTGACACCAGGATTCATCGGGCACTGTCAGAATGTCAGCGAGAAAGTCGATACAGGTGAGTCGTGGACACGTTGAGCGCGCTGTCTGAGCGAAGCAGTTGACAAGAATTGCACAGGCAGAGGAGAGATTCGGCACAGTAGAATGGGATGGGCGTCATTGGCAGTGGTGGCCTTGTCTGTAGCAGTTGTGTTCATGTAATCATAATGTCGTATTCTGTTGATATTGAAGGGTTGTTCACCACTCGATGATCTTTTCACTCTGCCAGAAACCGCCTGATGTGCCACCAATGTCGCCGAGAGCGAGCATGACGGGAGTTTTTGCGCCCTCATCGGGGGTCTTGACGCCGTTCCCCTTGGTCATGTCGGTGTTGACGTAGCCCGGACAGCAGGCATTGACCAGGACGCCTCTTCCCTGCTTGTCCTCTTGGGCAGCGATGGCCTTTGTGAAGGCGGTTGTTCCAGCCTTGCTGACGGCGTATGCGGCGGATGGCCATCCCAGCTCTTTCTCGTTGCCGTCTTGTACGGCCTTTGTGAATTGTTGCATGAGAGCGGTGCAGTCGGAAACACCAGACTTGGAGGCAGCGAGGAAAGCGTCGCGCATTTGAGGAGTGTACTTGTTGAGCTTGCCGGCCATGGAGCTGACGTTGACGAGGCGACCGCCGGGGCGGATCAAGGGAAGGATGGATTGAGTGGCCTCAAGGGTGCCGTAGTAGTTGGTGGCGAGGGTCTGCTTGACAACGTCGCTGTTGAAGCCATCCATGGCGATGCCGGCGTTGTTGATCAAGACATCGATGCCGTCGGGGTGCTCTTTTTGCAAGAAGTCGCGGAATTGGTGGATGCTGGACTGGTCGCTGACGTCGAACTCGCGGAAGGTGATGGTCGTGTCGCCGCCGTCCTGGGCGAGGACCTTTGCCTTTTTCAGCTGAGGATCATCTTGGAGAGCCTTGACGGCGTCGGCGCCTCGTGAGGCAGAGCGGGCGCAGAGGTAGATGGTCAAGGGCCCGTTGCGCAGCGCCGACGACGGGTAGCTGAGGGCCAGATTGCGCACTGTAAAAATGTCAGCTTCTTCCACCAGGATAAGAATGTGATTGACTGACCGATGGCAAGACCGATACCCTTGTTGGCGCCTGTCACGGCTGCGACTCTGGATTGCACGGCCATGATTCTGTCGTCTTGTCTTGTCTTGTCCTGTTGTTGTTGTTGTCCTGGAGCGCTCGACTTATGTATACAGACCATCGTGTCGACGTCATGACTTGGTGCCTCGCGCTTTGGTTGCTCGTGGGGTGACCCTGACACAGTCTCTTGTTTACGCCCACATCTGCCATTACCAAGTTCTGCACATGACTTTTCGAGAAAGCGATACATCTGGTCGGCTGATGATTCTTCAGGGGACTTTGTGCAAATCTTATCAATTCTTGTCCCGTCGCGCTGCGCTGTTCAGTCCATGATTGATTGACCTACGCTTACGTGACACTTGAGGTTCTGCAACAACTTTTTTTCACCCTGTGGATCATTTGGCATGTTCAGCAAACTTGGCAGATGATGTCGGAAGTACCTGAGAATCAGCGGCAACCAGCCAGGAGAGAGATTGCAAGAGCGATTTTTGCTCCCATGTAGGTCCCCGCGCTCGAACAGTTCACCGTCTGTGCAAGCTCGATGCGTCCAACATCACCGCAGCGAAGGATTGCCGACTGCGCCTCACTCACGCCTGCAGCTGATGAGCATGCTACAATATATTTGCTCCAGGCGCCCATGGCATTCCATCGTCTGCGATAGTAAACACTACCATCATGTCAAGCGAACAGGCACCATTGTTCGATCCGGCAGAATGCGCAGGTTTGCATAACCAGATTTTCCACCGAGCCACACAACAAGACTCAAACGACGCTCAACCTTCGAGAGACGCACTCCAAGCTTGCAGTAATGCGATCAGATCTCGTCTCTTGCCTGATATTCAGGAGTTTCTAGCCACCATCACTGTCAGATGCCCAAGCACTGCATCGACACCACTCACTCCTTTTAGCCTCCAGCCAGATCCCGCAAGATTCTTCCACCACACCGAGCTACCTCAGTTTGCGAAATACAAAGATAATCTCGTCATGTTGTATCCAGCTAAGAACACGGCTGGAGGTTTGTTCTTCTTGCAGCAGCATAAAATTGCGTCCTGGATCGACTCCGACCTCAAACTCCCTCCAAAATCATCTTGGCTTCCTTTGGCAACGATCCTGAAGCGATGGCTCCAGATGTGGGACGCTGGCAAGATCACATCAGGACCGAAGCTCCAGCCATGGTGTGAGCAGGACCTCCAGACAACCCTCGAAGCCTGGGATGAACTGATGGATGCCATCCAAGACAAGCGGCCCAAGCCTGTGCCGCGACCGCCAACATCTGCATCGCTCATCGAACATAGTGTCGCAGCAACCTGGACAGAACAGTCTTTCCAGCATGCCTTCCTTACCAGAGCCCGTCGCCCGGGATTTTCATGTCTCGCCCCCGGTATGCATATGTGGTCAACTGAGTCATTTGAAGCTGCACACGCGGCAGAGCCTCAAGACAGTGAGCGTAAACAAGTCATCGGCACAAAACCTGACGATCCCGAGGACTATCAATCAGTCCTGTCTCGCGATCTAGCACCTACCCTGCTGTTCATTGGTAGAGCTGTAGAGTCTACATGGCGGGATCCTTCAAGACCTTCGCTAAGAGACTACAAGGGCAGAGGCTCGGTCTTGATGAATCGCAAGGCGGGACTCTATCTTTGTCCTTTCGAGGACTGGAGCGATGCAGTCGTCTTCTCGGACGGAAGAGGCAGAGAGAATGTGTTTACATACAGAGGCTCGTGTCCATGGATGCCCGGCAGACCACCGGCACTGCTGCGCGACGTTCTCAGAGCCTGGAAGACAATCGTGGTAAAAGGTCATTGGCCGGTCAGAGACGTAGGTGTATTTGGCAATATGATGTACTTTCATTCCCTTGGAGATTTAGAGTCAGCCGACGTCTACTGGAATTGGGATATCGCAACATCCTTCTGAAGATTGCGTCAGTCGCTGTGCTGTCTTATCTCGCGGACAGACACATGAGCCTGGGGACAACGGCCGTAAACAGCGCCACGAATCCCGTATCGCGACGTCACGTAGGATTCAGGATGCAAAGCTAGACGCGACAACATCCGATAAGGGCGTGAATGAGTGTATATCTGGGCGCAGGTCCGAGCTGTGCCTCTTCACTCATCACTTTCGCAGCTTCCGCATTCGCACTTCTCGAATCCTTCAATCTACACACCCATCCTCCCAATCATGTTGAGCATTGCCGTGCTATCCTCACTTCTGTCTCTGGCGTCTGCAGCTGCCATTAGAGATCCACAGCAACCGCTCTCTCAAGATGGCTTGAACCCAGCTCTCGACCACGTCGACCAGGCAGGTTTTGTGAGATTCCCCATTGAAGCCATGAGCGACACCATGTTTCGCCTGCACCATCACGCAGCCAGAGCGTTCCTCGGCGACCAGTCGTACGTTGTCCTTCGTGAAGGAGAAATCTGGAAACGTCGCTCCGAGATCTGGGAGTACCTCGAGAAACACAACCTAGACTGTCAAGAGTGGTTAGACGCGGAGATGGAGCCTTCTCACAAAAGTGGTCGAAAGATCTTCATGCCGAGCGGTCGCATCTTCGACATCGATCCGAGACGCGTACCAGAGGACGTGATTGCCGCGCTGCAGAATCTCTCTGACCAAGAATTCGAAAATTCTAGAGAATTGAGGCGTGAAAAATTTTGTAACGCTACCGAATTCGATGGCAGAGACAGCAACATGTCCTCTGATGACGATGCCAACGAAGGCCAGGCCACACTTGATCAGAGCTGGATGGTGAGGATTCCGAGCGAGTACATGCAATATCAGATTTCGAAAGTAGAGATGGACAACATGTGGAAGGAACAGGACGAAGAGGACAAGAAGGTTATTCTTGCAGGTGAGCTGTCAGTCAGGAATGTGGAGATGCCGGATCTTAGCAAGTGCAAGAAAGTGAGAGACATGTAATGTATGACACGGACTTTCCAGGGTTGTAAAGACTTGTATTCCCCACTCTTCGAATCTGAACAGCCGCTCGTTGCCTATCTTGCCGCCAGTATTGCTGGCCTTTTCCTGTCTTGTTCACGAATAGCATGAAACACTACCTGGAAACAAGCCAGACATGAGTGTTGTTGGGAACGATCCTTTGGCCATCCGTGCGAAGAAACGCAGATGCGTGGTTACGTTGCCTGATTTGAGCTCAGAACTTGACCCGACTGAGAATGGAAGAGGAATTTACAGTTTCGACACTGGCTGGAGTTGCTTTCCGCGAGCGGCAGATGTTACAGTTTATTGCAAACAAACGCGTTCAATCTACAATGGGGACTTGTGGCTGTATAAAACTACAAATGCGGAGAGCAGAATCTTTCTGGAAGAAAATTAGATCTTGACACTTCCATACCCCGGGACCTCTTGCCGTTTCGAGCATCGCGAATGTATAGGGCCGAAGATCGGCTTTGGAACACCTCGAAGTTTTGCCTGCCAAAACCGCAGTTCGTCAAACGTCGAAGTCGATAAAGTCGTTTCTGGTAACCAAGTACCGACGAACACGGACGCCCGTTGCAGTGGGGCTGGGTTATTCAGCCATCTTCGTTGTATAAGGCTTCGCATCTGACAAAGCACATTCCTGTGTATCAACATATTTGCCGCTACTCTGGAATGTGCTGTCGCATTGTTGTTATTTCCTATAACAGCCGATCTAGAGAACCTTCGCTCTGATTATTCTCTTCGCTCAAGAACAAAATCTGCGTAGCGGTCCTTGTGAACCTATCGCATCGAGCCTTTAAGGAGATTTGTTCAACGGTCGGTTCATCCTTCGCTGTTCAACGTCAGCGTCCGCATCATCCGGCTTCGCCGAGGATTCACTACTACTTCATCCTTTTTTTCGCCGTTAGAGATAAAGTTCGGATCGTGTAGAACCGTTCAATAAAGCTGGAACTTGGTATGGCTTTGTTTCACTGTACGAGAATTTAGGATAAATCTACGTTGCCCCCCTTCCCAAATGCGCGTTTCAGATACGGCTGGATTATTGTCGTTCGTCTATTCACAGACTTGACGTCCTATAGTGACAGGGACATCATGACGGAGCTAGGATCAGCAGTCGTAGGCTTTGGCTGGGTGTTGACCGCCCTGTCAGGTGTCATCGTCACAGCAAGAAGTGTCATGAAGATTCTACGATTTCACGGTCTAGCATGGGAAGACTATCTGATGATCCTATCAATGGTAAACAGCACTTCTGACTTTGATCTGAACAATCATAGATCTTTTCGCTAACGATCGTATGCACAGCTCCTTGCAATTGTCTACGAAGTCTCAAGCACATTACTCTATGGAACACATCCTACCGAGAGAACCGCCTTCCACTCCCCCAAATTCGCGAAATACATCTATATCTGCCATTCCGTCGGTTTCATGGCTCCGTTATTCAGTCGCATCTCATTCTGTCTCTACATGCTGCGTGTTCTCAGTACAACGTCCGCTACTAGAAAACGCTGCATCTACGCCTTTATCACACTCCAGCTCTTGGTCAATGTGCCCATGTCGATCTTCGTATTCACGCAATGCGGAAACTTCCACAACCTTTGGGGACACGGCATGGCAGAGTCTGCACCATCTTGCGTGCATCACATCGTCATCAAAAGCGCAGCTCTCACGGCATCCGTCTTCAACGCCGTTACCGATCTCTTCTTGACAATCTTGCCGGCAATGGTTGTTTGGAGTATCAAAGTCATGACCCCGCGTGCACGCCTCGGTCTCGTTGCTACTTTGGGTTTGAGCTTCTTCGCAACCATTGCCAGTGCGATCAAGGTCTACTATGTGTATGCAATGTACACATTCGCACCATCCATGCAAGAAGTAGGACACTTGATCTTGGTCATGTGTGTGGAGATCAACGTTGTCATTATTGCCGCCAGTATTCCTGTATTGGCGCCGTTGTTCTTGCAGAAGAGTGGAAGGAGCAGAAAGGGCATGTACAAGGATCCTGTATTGCCGACCTACGTTGTCAGCGGAGAGGAACCGTCATCGAGCAAGACTTTTGAAAGGTTGAGAAAGAGCGAGAACATGTCAATTGCCACGACAGTTGTAAACACGTCTGTAGGGAACAGGAGCGGCTACATGGCACCGGAAACGCCTTGGGAGGAACTCCCTGAGTTTGTGTTTCTGAGTGACCATAAGCAATGAGTCCTGGCCAGGCTTGCAACACGATATTTCACTACACATCCCTCGCCCTTCAACTCTACGAACATCCGCTACCAGCACGGAAAAGTTCATGAGACTCACTCGTTTCTGCTCAGAGCACCTCAAGCTGAACCGCGCCATTGTCAGTAAGGCGGTTTCTATCTGATGCTTCGAGAAGTCCAGAACAATTGTTATGAGTCGGTACAAGCTAGTTCAGATCGCCTGGTACAGTACCATAGCAGAGAAAGGCGGCTCAATCTGGTCTCACACAAACACCATACTGAAGGCACTTGGTTTCCAGGAGGCTTGGTTCTCCTTCATGACAACCTGCAGCCTTAATCAGCTTATCAGCTGTCATTGCATATGCATCTTGATGAGTACAAAATCTTCCTCTCTGAAAGAGAGACCTCGCAAAGGAACCTTCACCACAGTCAATGCCAGACTCCTTGCCGTGCTTTGCACCCTCATAGTTGCTCTGCAACGTAGATGGCAAGAAGCTATTGTAAATTGTCCTCGTCGGTCTATGGCGCTGTATGCTGACCCTCGTCTTTTTCACTGCTCAGACTTGCCTGCCTTTCGAGTCCGCAGCCTTCCCCTTATATCTAATCTCGACATTCAAACCTTTGATAGACTGATCAAAGCGAAATATATCTGGAGATCTCTTGCATCAAGCATCGAATCGCCACAAACCAATGCAGGTACCCACTTGACAGTTCATGATCTCGGGATATAAAATCATAGTCAACCTTGAGCCTGCTTTGGATGAAACTCCGTTCCATGACACACCACTTATCAGGATGTGGAGTGGCCCCGAGCGGGTATCAAATAAGCCCATGCCAAGTTCTACGAGCCAAGATATATGAGTTCATTCAACTGCGAATCAATTGCTGCTGCTCCATGCGAAGTCTTTGGAATCATCACGATCTGTCTTGGCTAATGACGATCATGTTCGATGTCAAGTGATCTCGACCGCGGGGAGGCGTCTGGTTCCCCAGGTTGACGAATCACAGGTCTGGGGAGCCATCTCCGGGCACGGGAATAAGGGCGGGTGATCTGTTCTATCGAAGCATATGTCAAGCCTTCTACGCATACCGCGGAAGCCAAGAACCAGATCACAGAAACACAGAATCACTGGAGCACATAAAAGACTTCAGAATTTCGCACTTCCAAGTAAACAAAGTACGTTCTACACTTGACATCTCATTCTTTTCCACCATCATGAAGCCAGTCTCTATTCTACTGTCTCTTGCCACTGCAGTCGATGCATACTACGTTTGCCCTGCGACCTTGACTGCCGCAGATGCAGCTTCCATCACCTATGGATACAAGGTCCAATCTCTGCTTGACAGTTACTACAGTAGCATCCCAGTCAATGCTTCTTACTTTTCCGACCTGCCCATGGCCTCAACCCAAGACTCCAATGGCATGACCAAGGCCGAAAATACTGTCACCAATGTTCGTGGTCTTGCTAAGCAAGCAAGCCTTGGAAAACAGGCTATCTCTGAGCTTGCTCAGAAGGCCAGCGTGAACTTAGACGACGATTGTCAATACCGATACCCTTTGGCTCCAAATGGTACCGTCTACCTCAAGAATGCCTTTTACTTTGAGGCAACCATGTGCGGAGCCTTCATCGGTCTGGCCGACTATGTTGAGAGTCCCGAATCTGCATTCCTTGCCGCTCGTCTTTCCGCCGAGCACGGTATCCACGCTTCCGCTCTGAGAGCAATGATGCAGCCAGTAGGATTCATGCCCAACAGCACATACTTAACTCCGGCTTTCACCCCCGATATGATTATGCAAGAGGGCATGTCGGTCGGCCAGCTCGGTACCTGGCTCAACGGCTGCGCCAAAAGTCCAGCTGCTCCATGCGGCGGTCACGTTGTCATTGGCGACCTGCTAGCTACTTTGGCTGGACAGAATGCAAGCATGACTTCGGCTGGCGCCTGCCCTACAGCCACTGGTGGATACAGTATGGGTAGCAACGGAACTCACTCGTATGCCAATGGAACTGGAACCTCCTCTGCCAGCCAGAACGCTTCGATGACTCCTCAGGCATATACTGGTGCAGCTGCGACCACTAATGCCTGGGCATCAGCAAGTCTTATGGCTTTAGCCTTTGCTGTACTGCTTTTGTAGTATGACGGTGCGAAGTTCTACACAAGTTCAGAACCAGTCACGATCCTCAGATAGATAGTTTTTTGAATCAATATATCTGGTCTATGAGAACTTACCCGCGAACAAGTCACTAATGATACTTTGGAAGACAAGTAACCTTCTATAGAAAGCGTATATTTTCTTCACTAACCCTGATCTGGCGGACTGCCAGAGCGAGCAACGAGGGTCTATGCGCTGTAACCATGAGCGGCGAGGCAGGCACTTCAGAAACACAGGGACGGGCGTTATGCTGAATGATTTGAAGCAGCAGAAATGTCAGGAAGATGTGACCAGACGCTATGAGGTTTTCAGGCAGTAGCCGAACGGTGTTGCGGCGACTTTTGAGATCGACAGGGGACCTGAGACATTTTTCTCAGACAGGTACCGGAACACCATCCTTCGAAACCACTCAGGGTCGTGTCAAAAGTCAGTTGCATAATCTTTTTGTTGTAGCAAGGCATAAGAGGATAAAGGCTGTACGACCCCAACACTCGGTCATGAGATCTGGATACTACACCTCAGCTCGACGCCTTGACGTGTACCTCGACAATCAAGTCATTTGTCTTGATAAGGGAAGATTCCGAAATTCGAGCAACAACCAGTTCCGACTTCAACCTTTTCAGCTACAGAATCCTCGGTGTCAGTTCCGTACGTTCCAAAGATCAAATGCCAAGGGGTCATGACAGTCACCTCGAAGAAGTCTGGCCAAGAGAACAGGTACTTGTCAAGCATCGCAGTGTCACAAAGCGAGATGGCCATTCGCCTCTATCAGCAGATACGACAAACCTAGGCAGGTCTCAGCTCATGCATACAACGGACTGGGATTCATTCACTGGCAAAGCGGCGACTCCGTCTGGTTGCGCTCAGCTTGTGAGGGATCATTGTGCGGAGATGCTCAACATAAATTCGCCGACCAGCAGTCTGTCTCGATATCCAGGCCTACTTGATGGGCGGCAAGGGCTCTGGACGTACCTGTCGGAAGAGCCGAGATATGTAGGTATTATCATACAGTCCAATGGCAAGTGGTAAGTGTAACATACACGACCAATCGCACTTCAAGCTGTCGCTTATTCTGACCCTCAGCTGAAAAAGATCGGACTTCCGAGGAAACGTGATCGGCTTACTGCATTGTACCCGGTACAAAGCTGCGGGTTCTGGACGCGTCTAGGGTTATCGCAGGGCATGATTGGGTAGCATGGACATTTAAGGTTCCGGAGCCGCACTACGTACAAGTACATAGATCTGGACATCCCACGTATCACTGATAGCCCTGCTGCAAGCATGGTATCAAAAAGGCGAATGCAGTCTTCTGGAGACCGCGTTCGGGCATTGCGACTTACATGCGACTCCACGGATTTGTCAAAAATCTCCGTAGCAAACCTCGGAGCCTGCATGTGAGCCTCCCTGCATATCGTACAGCCCAGTGATTCTCGCATGGCTCAACCTAGATTTGTTTTTGCCCTCAAGTCACGGAAATTCAGGTGCATATGTCCTGCTGTACGTATCTTGTACATCAAGGGTATCCAATCGTTGCTTCTGCTGACTTTGAATTCTTGGATCAGGTTCATGAACAGCTCTTATAGGCGCAAATTCTCTGGTGTACCTGTCACATGTATCTTGCATAGGCTGGCTGACATCAACGGTTAGGTGTGACACGGCAGAGAGTCGCATGAGAGTAGGCATGTCTCACATCTACATAAAGAAGACCGCGCTGTCTTCGAATTTCGAGCAAGCATTCTTGTGTAGTCATAGACATCCTATACAGGACTAGTTCAGAAGCTCATATTACGACCACAAGATAAGACAGAATCAATTCTAAAGGATATCTCAACATGAGCAACAGCGCGCCGTTGCAAAGACTTCTGGTATGGCTCAGAAGACACAAAGAGGTACGCGTTTCTTGCAACGTTCACAAGGTTTGTCTGACTCGACGCGTACAGGACTCTTCTGCCAGCCCTCTGGGTACTGAACAACATGGCCACGATCCTTCCGTGGATGCATCTACAGAAAAGTCTGAGTGGCACCACTCAGAGAGCACACCACTCGATCGATCTGTCAGCAGTTCCACTCGACGCTTCAGCAAGATCAGCGGCAGAAGCTGGTCAACAGATAGATGGTCGGACGACAATGCTTCCGAACTCAAGAGGCATTCAAGAAGTCATAGGCTCTCTATGTTCAGTAGCCACAATCCGGACGAGGACTCCAAGAGTCTATCACCTACAATTTCGTCTTCCGCGAGCCGTCCTCCCAGCTATGTTCCTCGCCATGCTTCATCCAGCCACCTCCGCACCACGGCTCCGCTTTCTCCATATGGACAGGCAGTCAAGGATCGCAAAGCCAATCAGGCCTATTGAGCACCGGTACAGCTTGATGTCTCTTTTCGAGTTCAGCCCGCGGACTTCCATTGCTTTTTACCAGAATCCTCACGCGTCACGACCACAGTATATTGCAAATCAGTTTCTCATAGGATCGTTTGTTTGTCGAATCTCGCAATTGTACTCATATCATTAGGCCATTGCGCCACAAGGCTGTTACCGATCGACATTCCATTGCCTACTGCCTAGAATCTTGCATCGGGACATAGACATCTTGTATTAAGCTACAGCATGGCCAGGATCACCGTCGATGACACGCTCGACTTAGAGAATAGATATAGGAAATCAGATTTGTCAAACGAAAGACCAAAGCTGTGCAAGTACAAGCAGTAGCAGAACGATTGCACAAACTATAAACGGCCAGAGAGACAAAGGCTATGCACAGTCTGGAGCCAAGCTTGATGTGCTCTTGTTCCAATTCGTAGACAAGAGCCCTGCCCGTAGTCCTATGCAAGCAACGGCATAGCTTTTGAGGTGTCGACTGACAGTTTCGACCAACGACTATGGCAAACTCTCCCATCTTTTATGACTGCAAGAAGATAATCCACCGGCCGATCCAAGATTGTGATATCATTCAATGGGTTCTCATTGAGCACAAGCATATCTGCAACGAAACCTGACTTGATCTGACCAAGTGTGCCTTCACATCGTAACATGCGGGCCGGATTAGTGGTGGCGGTACGGAGCAGCTCAACAGGCGAAAGAACCTCCGAGCGTATGGTGAACTCTCTGGTTTGAGCACTAGTCAAAGGCCCAAGCAGGTCGGTCCCGAAACAGATCGTGACACCAGCACCTTTGGTAATCTTCAGCGAGCGGATTCCAGCTTCTAGAACCACACTATTCTTCTTTGCGCTCTCGGGAGGTAGATATCCTGACCAATCATTCATCTCGGAGTATGTGACCAATGTTGGTGTCAAAAATGCTCGCTTCCCCGCCATGAGCTGAGCTGTCGGTTCGCCGATAAAGTATCCATGTTCAATACCCTTACACCCATTGTCGATCACGTGACAAATTGACCTGGAGGGATATGCATGAGCAGTGGTCTGATTGCCATCAGCATGTTTTCTATCCGTACAGAAATGAGACATTCTGTAACTTACCAAGAGATCGGCGTTGTTTGCCACTGTGGTGATTGCTTGAACTTCCTCAGCAGTGAACTGAACATTCTCCAACTTGTCCATGGGTGTTGTGACTCATCCACCAACCATAATCTTAATGAAATCGGCTCCTGTACTAATTTGTTCCCTGATTGCCTTGATGCAATCTTCCACACCATCACAGATCCGGCCGAGTCCTCCATTTGCTCCTCCACAACACTCAGTGTGGTCATGAGGCTCCTAGCGCCATTAGCATACTCCTGTCAACAAATTCGACGACTTAGGCGAATATCTGCATGGCGACCAGTCTGTGATAGAGCATGAATTGACAAGAACAATCTTGGCCAAGGAAAGACGCCATCCTGCCGCTTGAGCGCTACGCCGGTCAATGTGTCGAGGCAGCCAAAGCCATAATTGACCTTTTCAAAACACTCCAACGTTTACGGTATTCGGGAATGTTCTCGTACACTGACTTCCAAGGCTGCAGGACTGCGACCGTCGTTCTGATCCTGGACTGCATGTATCAAAGACGAACTCCTAACTCGCACTTCGTTCAGACTGGTATGTCTTGTCTCGAATGCATGGCAATTGGGAATCAGCAGGCGAAGACAGGCCTTCGCTTTGTCAAGGAACTTCAATGCATCCCGGAGGATGTATCGAGGCACAAGTCAGGAGAACGAATTGACTCAAGAACGTACTGACCCCGCAGCCAAGGCCGTGCGATCATGTTGTCTAAAACTGGATTCGGAGTTTCGGAGTTGCAACAAATTCCTAATCTGGTAATCGCTGCTTCCTCTTGTAACATATCGGAGTTTCCTACTCCATAACAAGAGATAGCGCGAAAAAATCGCAAAGGGAGCATATAAATTAGTAGTCGTCTTGCTTCTCCGATTTTCTTGTCTCCTTACGTCTTACGCCGACAGACCAAACAAATATGTCGCCCATGAGCAGGAAAGTCGCACTGATCACTGGTGGCTCGCAAGGCATCGGTGCCGCCACAGCTCGACTCTTGGCTTCCAAAGGATACTTTGTAGCCATCAACTATTCATCCAACACCGCGAAAGCGGAAGACATCGAGAAAGAGCTGGGCGGACAAAATGCTATGACCATACAAGCGGATGCTGGCCAAGTCACGGGCATTGAAAACATAGTGCAGAAGACCGTTCAGCGCTGCGGAAGAATCGATGCACTTGTTGCGGCTGCGGCAGTCTTCAGTCTTCAGGACCTAGCGGATACAACTGAGGATCAGTTCGACAATATGATGGCCTTGAACGTCAAGGGTCCCCTGTTCCTCGCACAGGTCGGTGTTTGAGAAGCGTAATCTTGATCCGCACACTGCTGACGTCTGCTCCACAGAAAGCGGCTCTTTTCATGCCATCTGAATCCCATATCGTCTTCATGTCCACAACTCAGTGTCATGCATCGACTGTTACAGCACCCTATCTTCTGTACAATATGACCAAGGGAGCGGTCGAGCAGATGACTCGAGTGCTCGCCAAGGACTTTGGTCGTAAAGGAATCTTTGTGAATGCAGTCGCTCCTGGTCCGACAGCGACTGACATGTTCTTGACCGGCAAATCTCCTCAGCTCCTGGACACTCTCGCGGGGTACAGTCCCCATGATCGTATCGCAAAACCTGAGGAGGTCGCAGACACCATCGCATATTTGACCGAGAGTCGTTGGGTTAGTGGTCAGGTGATCAAGGTGAACGGCGGTATGGCATGACCGTTGAAGTGAATGTTGTCGTTGGAGGGAATGTTGTTTCAGACCCTTGTATAACTAGATCGCGGGTGGTGAAGCCGAACTGATGATTTTCGAGAGCAAGGCTCGAAGCCGTTTGGTGTGTGAAGTCCAGTGCAACGATGAGTTCAAGAGTGGCACGTCGCTGACCATGATCCAAAGCCTTCCTTCAATTCCTACTCAAGAGCTCCCAGCAGCTGGCCATCAAAAGTGATGTATTCATCAACCAGTGGCGGAAGAGACATTGCTGTAGGATCCACAACTTGATCCGACAGGACTTCGAACCCAGAAAATAGATCCAGCGCCTTCAGATCCATCGTAGATGTATAGGTGGGAGGCATGGTCAAAGCACGATCTCCGTCATGCTGCGCGGCAACAGAAGGCAAAGGCACAGACTTTTGTAGCTGCTCACCGCTATCGCTGCCGTTGACAAATCGAAGAGTTGTATTGGACGGTGTAGACTGTGAACCTGTCTGGAAGCCACTAACTATAGAGTCCATGTGCGCAAGAACTTTGTGTGTAGTTCTTGCAGCTTTGTGGGCTAGGTCGGACTTCTTTGTAGCCAGGACGTCGAAAGTGACGAGAGCTGTTTGCAACGCGGCGTGCGCGGAGGGTGTATGAGGACAGAAAGGGTGTGCCATTGCAAACGCAAGCAGTGTCACCGTAGCATCCCACAGTAGCCTTGTAGTCTCATGTACAAAACTCAGCACATCACTTTCAGTCGAAATTTGACTGATGATTTGAGTGATAATGATCGCGTGCTTGAGACTCCAGACACTGTGCTCGGCGCTGATGGGGATTCGACCAACAGAACTGAAGGGGAAGCGAATAAATGGACGGTGTAGGATCATGAGAGAACTGTGATATGAGAGCTCGAGCATGACGCGCTGTCTTTGAAGCCAAGAAGGGACTGAGTCCTCCAGGTCTAAAGCAGAACGAGCTGTTGAGAAAGGCCGACCAGCGCCTGTTCTGGGGGTCTTGAGCAGATCTGGGACCTCTTTGATCCAATCATGGACAGGCTTGTGCGCAATCCTTGATGACATCGGCGCTTTCATAGAAGTCAGAAGTGTTGGCTGTGTTTAGAGCTGCTGCACAGTGTGTGACAAATTCTTCATGAGCTCTTCGTACAGCAATCATGAGATCTAAGTGCTTGCCAAACAAAACGACAGAGGACATTCCTCTGAATGTCGTCGAGAGGTTATCCGCAGGTAAGGACATTCCTGATTCTTCGATTGGATGGGGCAGTGGACAAGTCGCTCCGCTATGATTGACAAGAAAGGGCTGACCTAGATTCAGACTGATTCTGACGTCCATAATATAGATGCTCCACCAGATGTTCCGACGCAAAACCTTTTCCTGCTCGGGCATAGTCGCTGGTGGCTCATGGTGAAGACCTAGGGCCGAAGCACTACGCAGCGCTTGTGCGATACATTCATGTGCTGCGTTCGTCAAGGAGTTGTTTTCAAGATAGATAGCCGACAGCAGATGGCATTGTACGATATGGATCCTCAGCGACTCTGTCTCTGCCAACAGAAGTGATCGAGCACGATCGGAAAGATATTGGCTCATATGGGTCGAGCCATGAGCCTGAAGTCCGCCAGAGACCCCAGTAGAACCCACAAAACAACTGCCATACTGAGCACACAGAGCAAGAACCATATCAACCAGAGCTGAGTCACCACGAACCGAGTTATCCGGAATCCATAAAGAGTCATAGTGTTGCGTGAAGGTCTCAAAATGTAGTATAGGCAGGAGGATATGGTAAGACTGCCAGAAAAGATTGAGGTAGTGCTCTTCCTGGAGGCGCGTCATGCTCATGAGATCGGAATGTGCTCTATCATCAGCAGTACTGATGGGCGACGCTGCAATTTCAAATACGAAGGGGTTGGACAATTCAGGCTGCTCAAGAGCGGAGCTGAGATACTTGTGGCATCGATGCATCATAGAGACAGTCGATGAGTAGTCGCAGTATCGAAGACATCCGGTTGCGTCGTCAGGTATCCAGATGGCAGCACGAGTAGCCGACGTCTGGGTTGCAGTGCATTTTGACGAATCTGAGGCAGGAACAGAAGACGTTGATGGCGCCTCTTGCAAACTCGAGATTGCTTCTTTTTCGCGGACATTAGCCTCTAGGTCTCTGATATGAGTCTTGAGTCTTTCAATCTCCCTTGGATGAGTCGTCAGCGACGAAGAGCGCCGTTTGTGATCAGTAGTACAAACTTTGTCGCACTAGCGAGAGTACGAACTTCGTTGGAACCAGTGACGCAAAGGTTCCCACGCTCAGCACAGTTGTCGCAAGGATCATTGTCGTTACATTTGACCCTATTCAGGCGACACCAGTCACAGGCACGAGCGACTTGTTTCCGCTTAGTTCGCACTCTACCGCCGCGGTTCTTCCTTACACCGCTCATGGTTCCATCGAAAGTCGCAAACATGATATAATCTGAGGAAGATGATCTAAACAGATCTCTCGCAGTATGAGGATGAGAAGCTCTGCCGTCGATCTCACTGGTGTGACAGTCCCTCGCTGATGACTCAGGCGGCTTCGTAGGCAAAACGTCGGGGGGACTTCTACGCGTGACGCCCAAGTATAGCTTACAGGACATAGCACCCTGTCAGTTCCACGCACGAGAATGATAAACGGGTTCGCGAAATTTCATTCGCTTGGAGAACGACACGCCGTTTCCATGTTGCTTATTGGTTGGTAAAAGGTATTGAAAAAATTCACCCTGCTAAGGGAGCAGTGCAAAGCTTGCCAGTCACGGAAAAAGTTTCACAGTCTGATCGATGGAATGCAAGAAGCCAATGATTGTCAGATCCACGGCGATAGGAAGTTTTTCGGACAGAGCAACAGTGTTTGCGAGACTCTTAGCTAACGATGTTCAACATTATAGCACACGTAGGTGGAAGTGGATCCATGTCAACCAGGCTATTATCCAACGCCTGCATAGCGACTTCCCTTTCTGATCTTTTTGCCATATGGCGGACATAACTAAAATTTACTCAAGGCGATCATGGAATCCGGCTCAAAATCAAAATTCAGATCACTATTCTTGAGACCGGCACATTCTCTTGTTGCAGTGGCCCAACCCAAACCATAAGTCGGTACGCAGTAGATGAAAGGGGTAGTGCAATCTCTACGACATGTATAGATGCTACAACAAGCAGTATCATCCTTCGTTAGTTGAAGAGGCCAGAAGCTCGACATTTAGGAGCCTCGAATAATATACATTAGCAAGATGAAAATAATGAAGCGCTTGTACCTGACTCATTAGCCTGCCTTTGATGGCTGGAAGACGCCATCCCTCTCGATAGCTCTGAACACATCCTCGGTGTGTTGCAGGACGGCCTCTTTGAAATTCTGAACTCTCAAATTCTGGTAGAACTTGCTCACATCGTTGATCTCATTCGTGTACGTCACCGAGTATGCGCCGCCTCCCTTGACACCATCTGTCGCATCCACAGTCTCAGCATCAATTTCTGATCCCTTGGGCGCATATCGCTGTCCTGATGCCAGAAATAACACTCTCTGTCCGATGTCCTCTGGGGTGAGATACATGGGAAAGAATCGTGTGAATGGCTTTACAATTCTCCAGATGATCTTGAACCACAATGGATAGTTCGGGTCGTCAAAGCCTTTGTGAACGACCAGGCCAGGGTACATGTGCGAGCAGCTGAGTTTTCCGGCATGCTTGTCTGCCAGATCCTCAAGATACATAGTCTTCATGGCAACAGAATGCGTGCGGCAGTTCGCGAACGAATAGTGCTTGAATTGATCAAGTGAGAGGTCGCTGGAATAGAGTGTGCCCATAGTTTCTGCGCCTCCTGCATATATCGAGATGATCCTAGCGCCGGTATGTAAAGTCGAGCAAAGCAGGCTTGGGATCAGATTGTCGATGAAGCGCATACGCGAGTAGTAAAGCAGGGACATCGATTTGTCAAGACCTTCCTTCGTGTCTTGGAATCATAAGTATATTGACAGAGAAGACAAGGCATAGTGGTAGACTTACCGATCCGGGGTCCAAATTCCACCTTGCCTTGGGTCATAACCAACATGTCTATGCTGGTTGTCTTCGTGGTCTCGAGAATGCTTCTGATCTCGTCGCATGATTTGTCTACACTGTGAAGCAAACTGATATCGCCGCCTTGTACGAAGTGAAAATCAACAGACGAACACAGAAATTTGCATTCAGTCATGATCTGCTGAGCGGCTTTCTCATTGCGACCGACGATGATGATTCTCAAGCTGGGCCCTTCATGGCCGTGCGTTTTGCACAGTTCGCGGACTGTGAATTCGCCAATACCATTCGTCGCTCCCACGAAGACGGCTGTCAGTGACTGTTTCTTGATAAATGCGACATTCGCAGCTGTGACTGTTGTGAGCTTGACCATGTTTCGATGCTTGTGGGTGATTGAGTTCTCGGCGAATAATGCTTGTCAGGAAGCTTAGAAAAGAAGCGCCGATATATACGCGATTCGATCGGTCGAAGGATGCGCCGATGTATGCTCACCGATCTCTGTGCTTGTCGTGACTGCGAGGTCTGATCCTTCGTGATCGCTATCTCTTCTGTTTTCGGCTTAGGCGCGGACAGAAATTAGTCCGGGGTGCATAACATGTTCAACAGAGAACATGCCAAGCAGCTACAATCAACTCAGCATTGTGTTTGGATAGAAAGTCATTGAAGCCATCTAGATTTGATATGATCAAAGGCAAGATCTCAGTAACGCTGTGTAGCGATCGACAGACCGACTGCACGGCACACTTGTTGCAAGAAGCACCCTGGCCTCGAGTCGACAATTCACCGTGCTGGTCAAAGACAATGTCATGGGATCTTGCTGACACAGTGCAGGCAAATCAGACAAGAATTTGAGGGACAGATTTGATTCTGATCGATCAGACATGAGAGCTGCACTGCACGAGCGCAGACTCAGGTTTGGAGACGACACGCGCGGTCGAGAACACCTCTGTCGTGGTTCTTCACTTGGTGAACGAGGTATGCTGGCAGAATGGTGAGTGAGCGGGCGTGATTTGTGTCCCTCAAAATGTCGCTAACAAGCTCCTTGTCGGCTATCAAGAACGAGTGTGATCGAGTGCAAGATCAAGGGGGTTTGTTGTTGACTCGCTTGTAAGCTAGCGAGGCCAGAAGTTGAGTCCGAGCGCCCTTTTGGGAGGATCGTCAGTAACGCCGCCTGTGGTACTTGCGACCCACAAGGACATTCGAAACTTCGACACATCTACCTATGCATCACATCATTCGAGTAGGGGACATATTAGCTCTCGAAAAACCCAAATAAAGATCTCTGATTTGCTTTGCCTCATGGTCTTTCTAAATTCATGAGGGTGGTATACTTATGTACTGAAATCCAAATTTAGCACACTAAAATCTGTTGGCTTCGTCATCTTGATTTTTTTAACCGCCGTTATCAGTCTTCCGCTCAACACGAGCCCCATTGCTTCTGATTCTTTCCTCTCTTCACATGAGACAAAGGCTTCTATTGGTCTCCTTTGCAGGATGCCACAGATGTAGGTGAAACTGATATAACGCTCACGCTTGACATGATTTTGCTCATATCCACCCTGCACTCCTTTCAAGACGGTTGTGTCTTCAAGGCGGTTGTGTCTTTATCTCATGTAGTAGGTGCAGCAATTCATAAAGCACCCAGTGGTCCACTTTTTCCAACCCTCCCTTCCTCTTGTTCTCCCCTCTGTACTGGATCACAAGTTCGTGCACAGGAAGTCCTCGCTGTTCCGACCATGGTTGTCTTCAGTACGCGTATTCTGGTCTTCGCGGCAGCGATTGCCACCAGCATTCTTTTCATATTCGGTGCATACAGCCAAGGCGTCACGACGACCGATGTGACCCAGCTCGCCAACAAGATCTCATCGCAGATGCCAATCACTGGATCATCGCAGAAATTTGCCTACATGACTCTCCTCACAAACACCATGAACGCACCAGAGAATCCCAGCGACGATCACTACTTCATGGCCACCCGTATTCTGGGATACCAACTCATGCATCAACCCAGCACAAAGACGCAAAAGAACATTCCGTTCGTTGTGCTGGTCACCAACGATGTCCTTCAAAACAGACGGGATCTGCTTGTTGCAGATGGCGCAATCGTCATAGAAGTCGAGACTGTCGATGTCGATACCTCCTGGGTGCATGGCGAGATGCCGCAGTGGAAGGATTTGATGAACAAGCTGCGCGCATGGGAGTTTATCCAATACGAGAAAGTCGCTTTCTTGGACGGCGACTTCATCCTAAATCGCTGTATGGACAACATGTTTGACGATCCGGCCACGGAGCAAGCCCCTCTTGTCAAGACAAATACATTACCTGGAGACGAGGGCCAATTACCGGAGACTTACGTTCTTGCAACCGTGGCGGAAGCGAACCCTTTCCACAAGTACCCTCCGAAGGCCGAAAACAACGACTACAAGGATCCCAACTACTTCAACGCGGGCTTTTTCATCTTCAGGCCCGACGTCAAGCTCTTCTCGCATTTCCAAAAGATCTTGACACTGAAAGGTCGTTTTGATCCTCAATACATGGAGCAGAATTTGTTGAATTATGCGTTCAGAAGAGAAGGACAGATGCCGTGGATCGAGATGGAGGGAAGCTGGCATATCAGGTTCCCGAGCGTGCACGACAAGGAGTCGGGAGTCGCAAGTATGCACGATAAGTGGTGGAGTGCCCACATGGACAAGGAACTGCAGCCGTACTATGACTCCATAAGGTGGAAGATGGAAGGATATTACGAGGCGAGGAACGACTCTTTGTCTGCTTCGTAAGGCAATCGTGTACTAATGATTCTTCCGACCTCTTTACAAAAAGTCGTCTATCTTCAATTCGATCTTTTGCTTCCATTTGTTGATGCGTGAGGCCAACAGTTGCCTAATCAACGCGCGGACCTTGCGCGGCTGCCTGATTTGACGATGTTTCATGTTCGCGAAAGCTGAGAATTCTTGTTGCCTAATATCCAGAACACTCCCTTCTCGCTGCTCATCCAAGAATCGTAAATTTGCTCCCAGTGTATTTATCACGATGAATGACACCCGTCCCGCGCACGAAGGTATCGCCCGCCGACGACCATACCAGCACGATGAAAGGACGATTTCATTAACTCTTGCTCGACAAACTGAGATTCGTATGCCAATGATGGATGTCGAGACCACATTCACAGCTCTCTTCGTGCTTGACGACGATGTTCCTGACAGCGTAAGGTTCTGTTTCAGTGCGGTCACTATAGAGAAGTTTGTCGAATTGATGCGTTTCGCAGATGATCAATGACTTTTTGCAACGAGTCAACGAGGAGTCACAAGTTCACAATATCTGGCTTGCAGACAGAGTGATTCCGGATGGCTTAACAGAGGAAGATGGAGAAGCGACCATCCCTCCGATAGACGCGATATGGAGATCACCCTTCGTCGGCATTTCAATCGAACAGGCTTTCGAATTCCTCGCCACAGTCTCGGAAACAAAATCGGTGAATAGGACATACATCATAGTTCTTGATAGAACTCTCTACGAGCAAAGGAAGTGGGTAGTGTTGCATCGAATTGATGAAGCGGGTGAGATTACATCGATTCCTTGCGCAGCACATATGTGTATGGTATATATCGACTCGTACACTTGGGACCGCTGGCCAGATCACTGGGAAGCCTGGCAATGGCAAGGCAGGCCAATCTTCTAGTCCGCAAATCTCAAATCCAGCTCTAGCTACAACAAGACCTTGAACAGACTCTTCCAAAACTGCGCTCGGTGATGTTTCTGACACCAACAAAGTGCAAACGGTAGATCAAAATCCCCGAGCATACACTCGCGCCTTAGTCTCGAATTCTCTTTCTTCCATGGCCAAGCTCGGTTTTGCGCAAGGCCAACAAGAATAAACAATAGGACAGCCCAGGTCCTGCTGATCATCAGGATGTCATAGTGAACGATGGGTCGAACGAGTGGAGCACCAGGAAGACCCGTCCCTTCTTCTTCTGATCTGTCCAGATGTTGCTCCATACTCGACACCTCGTCTGCCTCTTTGTCGAACTGAGGACTGAATCCGGTGTCGTCGCTATTGAACGCAAAGCCGGCAAGCTCTCGTGCCGGGTCGCCGTATACAAAATCAATTCTGTCTCCATCTGAAGCCGATCTTCGAGTGATTACCAAGTCTCGTGGCAGTCCGGTCACTGTCAGGGACTGATCGACCCCAAGATTGTCTGCATTGGTTGATCGAAACTCTTGCAGGGCGTTGTTACGATACTTGCTGACGGTTGCTGCCCAAATGGCTTGATCGTCCCCAGTAATCTCAACGACCACTTGGAAAACTTCCACTGGATCGCTCTCGCCCGTGAGTTTGTAGTTGTTCATCGTCTCAATATCGTACGGCCAGCCCATCCTGCCTGCCTTTCCCCCTTTGATTGAGGTACTTGAGATCACTAAGATGGAATTGTTGGCCATCATTTGTGCAATCAGGATTGGGCTTGCAGTAGGGAGCTATCCTGTGAGAATATCTGAATTAACACGACTGGACGGGACAGCACGAAACATGGTACGAACTCATCGATTTCCGTGTCAGACATACCGGAGATGTCAAATTCAACGGTGAGAGTGTCTCCTCTCCTTAGACTCTTGTCACATGTACGCAAGTGGGCATACTTCCCACCTCTTGACTTGCTGTACTCAGCTTGTCCTTGACGGAAAGATCTGTAGAGGATACCAGCTTCTATGAACCATATGTAAGCACATGTAACGTTCAGCCAGGGGCCAGATATATCGATGCTTCCATTGTATATTTGCCTGGTGCAACGCAGACTGTTCCGAACGGTGCCCCGACTGAGGGTGGAAAATTTGGGTTGTACCATAGCGGCCATACATTCGTCCATCTCAAGATCTGGGTCATCGCTTAGCCAATTCGGCCACTGATCATATGTTCGTTGACCCAGTGGAAATATCCGGCAGGGGCTACTGGGGTTTGTAGTGGTTGCTGCGTCGATTCGATTTCGGGCAGCCTGTTGTCCATACGATTTAATGCCACCGCCATCTGTATACCTGACCGTTCTGCCACGCATCACGCAGTTTTGATAATAACAGGCGTTCTGGAAAAGTGATCCGGTCAGTCCACATCACTCATGTTTCTGGGAGAGTTCAACATACATTGCAACCGGTCAATGCTCGTGCGCAATCTATTCTGTAGACACCACAGTCTCTGGTGTTTCTTCGCTCGAGGCTAAACAGATTTGCAGCGTGCAGGCTATTCAGAGAGACTTCTGGCTCATCTTCTTCTCCCTCGTCCGCTTCAGCACTTGGATAGCGACCATCTGGGGTATTTTGACCAGTATTGCTCTTTCGATGAGCTTGCCGAGTGTTGATGGCCTCAAGAGAACCGATATGGTTTTCTGTCATCTGAATTTTAGCCGTTAAGGTTGCATTGAGAGTGGTGGGAAGATCAGAAATGACATCCTTTGATTCAAGAATCACCAGCAGACTGGGGATACCAAATGAGATAGCTGCTTTGTCCGCCGTTGACTGATGGGCAAGCAGAAGACATAAGGAAATGCTTGAATATCTCATGGCTACGTGGTAGCGGAAAGAACCAAAAGCCGCGCGAAGAGACGAACAGGTGTTACGAAGACAGGAGCTCGAGACTAGATCAGTGTACCCTAGCAGCCCTTTGCTCGGATGCGCCATGAGAGCGAAGCGCCATGTCGTCCTTCAGCACTTCAGATTAAAGGTACAAGGAGTTCTCTCAACTTTGGATCTCTCGAGACGTCTCCTTCCATTACCTGGTCGCATACACGCGCATTGAGCCGTCGTGAAGAGATAAACATCGCTGTTGCAGTGCTGGAAGGATTGTAAGCCTTGCAAGTAAGCGCCGCGTCGACTGAGATCGATGGAACAATGAGCGTTTCGAACTTCATCGTACGCATCCTATGCCAAGACGTTTCAAGTCAGTTGCCGAGCAGCCTCCGAGCGCTTACACCTCAACCATAACATTCAAACTGGAACTCCTACCATTCCCTCCACTCATGACTACGATCCTAGATGAGACACTTCATCTAGCTTCAGCAGACAGTCAACATGGGTCGACCGCACTTGGTGCAAACCCAGCGTCCCGCTCGACCTCCATTTCAGCATGATGAAGCACATCTTCCTTTGACCGTTCCGCGACGGACTCAGATCCGTATGCCTCTGCCCGACGATGATCCATTGTTTACAGCACTGTTCGTCCTAAAAGACGATGTACCCACCAATGTAAGATGAAGTTGGTCGTGGTACTGTGAATTTCACCTTTGACGAACGGTAGATGATCAATGATTATCTGCAAAAAGTGATTAAACACTCGAATGTCTACAATCTATGGCTTGCAGATATGGACCCGCAGAACCTGACCGAGGATGACGAAGACGCCACAATCCCACCAGTTGATCCAACATGGCAATCGCCATTTGTTGGCAAAACAAGTGAAGAAGCTTTTGAGTACCTTGCCACAATCCCACTTCAAATGGCTCTTAACAGAGGATATCTCGTTGTCCTGGACAGAGCACTCTACGAGCAAAAAGACTGGGTTATAATTTATCGTATCAATGAAGAGGGAGAAATCACGTGCATACCTTGCACTGCACACATGACGCTGGTGTATATCGATTCGTACCTCTGGCATCGTTAGCCAGATCATCTCAAGCGATGGCGCGAACAAGGAAAGCCGGCTTTGTAGTTGGACTCATCAAGAAAGGTCGCTAGGATATGTTTTAATTGGAGCGAGATGTCTATGCACTATCAGACGTGGAAACTTCATGAGGCGCCTCACAAGTTGTGACGGTCTGTTCGGCTGTTTACTGAGATGAAAAGACACAAGATCACCCTGGAGCCGCGATGAACCGTCAAACTTTTTGCGGGGCCATGACGCGAGTCGTGTCAAAGCGATCCCAAACGTTTGCGAGAATGTACATCCGAGTGGAAATAATGAACATTCGAGCGGAGATGTTGAGTACCTGCATCGGAATCATGCTGGTGATACAGATAAGAAGAAGCCATCATGATACACCGACTTGACATGGGAAAGCCAACCAGCAAACACTTTCATAGGCTCACGAAAGATTGTGTCGCCAAGATGTTTCAGAAATTATCTTTGATAACGCAACTCACGGCTGCCTAAACCTCTGCGTCGCAGAAGCCCTATCTATACTCTTTACTCACATCTCGATGCGCACATCAGGCATAAGCTCAAGCACCTGAATTTCTTGATTCCTTTGACAAGTCTGGTCAAACAACATCGGTATGATGGACGTAAGCTCTGTGCATACTGAGCAGACTCTGCGATATACTCAATACAGAGAGACAACGATCCAAATGCCGATGCTAGGCGAAGAGACTCATCTTGCTGCATTCTTCATTCTAGATCACGACACTCCCAACGAAGTACGAGAAGCTTCACAAGCAAGTGCATGAAGATGCTAATTTCAAGAGCTATAGATGGTCAACGATGTTCTCAGGAAGGTTTACGATGAGTCGGGCGTTTATCACCTCTGGCTTGCGGACGATAATCCAGAGTCTTACCCAGATGACTACGATTGCGCTACTGTACCTCCCATCTCGTCAACTTGGCAGTCGTCGTTCGCAGGCAAAACCATTGAACAAGCCTTCGAATTTCTGTCGACTCTACCTATCGATGCAGATGTGTCCATCAACAGGACATACATTGTTGTCCTTGACACGCACCTTTACAAGACTAGGGACTGGGTGGTTGTATGCAAGATAGATGACAACGGAACCATAACCACAGCGCCTTGTGCAGCAAAAAATCCAATCCTGCATATTGACTCGCTTTCGTGGCATCTATGGCCGCAGTACTTGGAAAGGTGGCGATCAGAGGCACGTCCGTTCCTGCGGTAGGTCACAAGGATCTCTTGGAGAAAATGACGTTTTTAGAGGCATCTAGCATCTATGACCACGATATATAGACGGGTGGCGTAACAACCGAGGAAAGCCTTTCCAGCGATGATGAGACGAAGTGCTTGGAGAAACAATTCTAAACCAGTCGATTCGAACGTGTCATCACAACATCATGGTTGTTCCCTCGAGCTCTTTCTTTGCAAACCCATCACCTGCAAAGAGCAATTCTCTGACCTGAATCTCGGGCGAGAAAGCAGCCTGGCGGTCCTTGTGAACCAAGTTGCGTCAGTGTCGGGAGACTGACCCGTCGGAAAACTGCAACGTCGGGAAACTGCAACGCCGGGAAAGTTGTAAGACCGGAAAACCGCAACCACAAGGGCTGAAGCTCATATGGAAGTTCAGAGCGAGAAACTCGTCCATGCGAACTGTTCCCCGAGGATTTGGCCGAGCCCATGACAACAGGGGTCAACGGATCGCCTGCTACTCCGAGTAATGAGGGCTCAGCTCCAAACAGATCTCTGGGGAAAGAGCCGAGCCCTAACTGATCGCGTCAGCAAAACGCTGAGCCCTAGGAGCGCAACAACTTTGGTAGGCTGTTCTACTCGAGTAGGTTACTGGATGCGTTATGGGCTGAGATCATTACCCTACGGCACGATGCTTCCGTAATCCGTGTCCGAGCTTCATTCTGGCGTGCCAAGTCTCCATCCGCTTTGGGTAATTGCGCCTCCGCGTGCAGTCTATATCTATTGGGCAGCGACATCATGTAAGTCTTGGCCAGAATGTATGCATCCAATCATATGACCTGATTTTGGAATGTCACTCTGAGGATAAGGTCAAGCGAACTTCGAAACCATTGCACATAGTAACCTTCTGATCGGCGCCAGACGTCTAAGGAGTCAGTAATAGTCAAGTCAATCCAATTAAGCTGGAGGAGCTGCTTGATGGGGCTGTTTTTCTCTTTACAGGTCTTGTCGGTCTAACTCTTACTACAACTGGCGGCGGCGCGAGATTTCATCATAGAAGTTCAACTTTAGCGACGGAAATGTTTGGACAAACACCTAACTCCGATTATTTGACACAGCGCATGGATTGATGCAAACCGATCGGGGCCTATATATAAAGAGATTTGGGATTGAGTACGTGGAAAAAATGTCTTTCTTATTCAGAGTCTACCGAAGACAATTCTACCACCACTGTCTCGTCAAAGCCAACGCCATGTCGTCCTCGATCAATGTCGGTATAGATAACACTGGTCTCTGGGGTATCAAACAAACTCCGCAGGCATCCAGTCTATTGTCAAATCTGATGCAACAAGACCTCGAGGTAACAAAAACTTCCTTATGTGACGCAGTATTCAACTCTCGATCCTGACCGGTGAACAGAAACACCATGTCTTTCTTAACGATATCGGCTTTCACGATCATGTAAGGAACGAAAGCTCGTCTACGGTGCGAATGCTAACAAACTTGAAAGATGCCCCACCACCTCCTTGCCCTCTATGGTACAGGTGCTAGCGCTGAAGATATACAGAAAGCGTGGGATCAACGCGACCCACTCCAGCGTCCAGCTCTGCCACGTAATGATCGTGTCGTCAAATATTTGATCGAATCATGGAACAACTCGATGCCATACCTGGGAAAGGAAGAGCACTATGCAGATTTTTTGGCCTATTTTCAGCATGTCATCCAGATTCGAGGCTACCAGGCTGTCGTCAATGAACACCTTTTTCGGGCCAACGACCCCGCACAGTTGCTCGTTCGACTACATGCTGGAGTCTTGCATCCCTTGATTCAACTCATGTACGGCCTGGAATGGGAACAACCAGCCGTCGTTGCAGAAGGGCTCGCTCAGGCAGCAATCCACGGTATTGAGCAGCTTGATGAGCTCCTCGTTCAAAGCGAGAGGATGGTGTACAACTCATCGTCAACTGGCAGAATACCGAACTTGTTGACTATTTACAAAAGGATTCAGCAAGACCCACAACTTTCTCATTGTGTCAGACCAGATGACGAGGAAAAGATCATCGAAGGGGTGATTGGTCGGTCCAAGGAAGAGATGCTTGCCGTACTGCAAGAGGTTCGAGTTCATGCTGAAGATCTTGCAGAGAGAACAGCTGAGATGTTTCATAATATTGTTTTGGTTGCTTCTGGTGCTGCACTCCATCCTCACAAGCACGTCAAGTATGACTTCTTTCTGATGTGAGTCATTTTCTACATCACCACCAACCAGGCTTAGCTGACGATCCAGGCATCATATCAACTCGTCACTCATGTACCTTACTATCAACAAGCAGCACTGGATAACGGAAGCCAACAAGGTTCGGATGCTGGAATGGAAGATCCGCATGGATCTCCTTCAATACGCAGCCCGTGGAGCCCCGGACTTCTCTGCGGAAGCCATCAGATCATATGAGCCCAAAATCGGACTCAAGGGTGGACCAAGGCGTAAGGTACAGCATGAGTTTCCAAGTCACAATCTCTAACATATGCTCTAGAGATTGCAACCAAATTGCACTCTTTCGGCGACGACGGTCACGCGATCAAGCAAGCCAGAGCTACAAGTCTCTGCCACGAATTAATAGCACACTACAAAGGGAAGAGTTGGGCTGTTCTGGTGGATGATGATCTTTGGATTAAGATCCAGCATATGGTCATCGACGCTGTAGAGGGTCCTGGTCCTCTTTATGTTCGTACTGCTGGTCTGGAGGAATCATGGAAGGCAAGTGCGCAGACAATTTTCACACCTTCAGCACGGCTAACAAAACTCAGGACATCCCCCTCGCTTCCGCACAGAAGAGATCTCCTGCGGAGCTGTTGGCCAGACAGTAATAAGCTCGAGTCTGATATGTTTACAGATGTATCTTATAATTCTTTCTATCGTCTATGTCACTTTTGTACTTTGGACCCTAATGTCAAAAGAAGTGTGCCCAATCACCACTCCCATGGTGTTCTTCTGCTCGATCGAGTGATATCTGCTCATGTCTTCCCAGATATCCTTTGTACCAATGCCGAGCTGCTCAAGAATCTCCATGACCGCAGCGTACAAGACATCGATTTTCCCGTCTTCAACCTTGATCGCGATACCGACAGCCCCTTTTGCACCCATCTTTTCTGTGGCTTCCGACTCGCGAATAGCAAGGCCGTAACATCCGTCCGCACCAAGTTTGCCGATGAGCGCTCCGCGATACACCCGACCAAGATCTGTGCAAAAGCGGTCTTCTCCAGCGATCAGCTCTGGGAAGGCAGACATTGACTTGAAAATTCTTGACAGAGTCTGAGTGCGCGAAGATTGAGTGCATCCGAGCTTTTCGGATTGATCAGCAGCGTCAGCCAGAGCCGCGTACATACGAGCTAGTCCGTAGAGTGGCATCGCTGGTGCTGGTGCATTGCATCCGTCGATGCCCCAGGAGATCTGATCTGGCTTCAATGCGCTCATTGCCTCGACGACATTCTTGATTTTCTGTTGTACAGGCTGTTGTATAGTGTGATAGTTGCCAATATCTGCATTGATTGTTTTTGCGGCAGCCAACATGCCTATGTGCTTAGCACAACAGTTGTTGTATATGGCTGTTGGCTCAAATCCGTTTCTAGTCCAGGCTTCGTTGATCGTTCTCGAAAGCGACGGGTGGCCACCACACTTGAGGTCTTTCTCTTCCAGTCTAGCTCTCTGCAACATAGCTACGGCTTGCGATATATGTTTTTCCTCGGCATTGTGTGAGCTGCACATAAGTGCAATGTCTCCGGAGTCGAAATCGACCCTTTCAGCAGTTCCTGTTTCGAGAATAGCGAGTGCCTGGAAAGGTTTGGCAGCTGATCGCGCAAGCGTCATTCGAGATGGGTTGCCGACAGTAAAAAGCAGTCGTTGAGAGCTGTTGGTCACGGCGGCGTGTACGATGTGGCTGTTTTCCACTATACCGCCGCGCCATGTTAGAACGAGGTCAGAACGATGCATTGTCGAGGTCAAAAGTGTGCAGCTACGTCGATGAAGAGTTTGCAAGCAGGAAGAACTCTCTCTTTCTGGCCATCCGCAGATTTTCAACAAAGGTTTCTCTGGCAGTGTAAGAGAACAGTGATGGTCATTTCGTTGATCTACTGTAGTCTGCCCTAAGTATGTGAGCCTTTGCGCGTTCCGAACTTCTCGATTGGGCTAAGTTATTGTGTCAAGTTTTGTCTATTTTTAGCGAAGGTTCCAGGGTCGGAGTGACCAACATTGCCACCACGTTACCAAAGAACTTTCTGGTCAGCCAACAATGACAAGGCTTGCACCAAGGGCCGTTGACTGCTTTCAGCACCATGAAGCTCGCCAAAAATTCATGACTTAGATTACTTCCCAACATTTTGTGCTATCCTCACTGTCATGTCGAATACTACCGTGCGCAGGCTTGTCAAACTTAATCTTGCGAGGATTGCTCGGGATTGAGAGCTCAATGAATGGAATTTCGCAACAGCACGGTCGCTAGTGGCTCTTTTTGGACGTAATCGTGGAAGTCGAACAGAAGTCGACAGAAGGGAACAGAATCTCAGGCTTTGCAAGCGGCCAGCGCCTAGTTCGTGAGTAAGTTCACGAGCTGATGAACAGAAAACTGAGACGGCATAACGCATAAGGTGGGAGCGCCGCTCGATTCTTTTTACGCTTGTCACAACATGCACCCTGGGTATCACACCACACCTCTTGACCTGGTTTTCGACACGCCACCACTGCCCCTAGTTGATTGTAACGGATGAAGAGCCGGTGCTCTCGTAGCCCTCGGTGGCCATGATCTGGTAGTTGAAAGTGCCGAGGTTCTGAAGTCATCGTCAGTATCATTTCCGCAACTTTCTAGGAGGTCGTACCAAGCCCAAAGATGCCCAAGCATTGATGTGATTCTGGAAGGTGATGGTACCACTGGTGCGCTTGGTCTGACGCACGGAGAGGTATTGGTGGAATGTGGCAGTTCCCTGGATCGAGGGGGCGTTGGTACGTGTGGTCTCGTAGATATCGTAGACACCACCGTCAGTAGTGACCTTTGTCACAATATTAGCATTCAAGCTAGGTGATTCGGATATCAGATGCATTGTCTCACAGTGCCCAGATGAGTTCCAGCGCTGCCAGGGTTGTAGGTGCCGTAGGTCTCAATGACATAGTACTCGACGAGAGGGCCGGTAGTCCAGCCGTACAGAGCAATGAGACTGTCATTATCAGCATCTATGGATCCAGTGTAGTTAATTGTGCTGCACAAGAGTCAGTCAAACTCCTGGTAGCGAGAACGTCGAGCCTACCGTGCCGCGCCGGTTGCCCAACCGATGCCAGCAACAACATCGGTATTGGCACTGGTCCATTGCAGATTGTAAGTGCCAGTTCCAATCGTGAAAGAGTCGGAGCCTGTCTCGACGTAGTTCGAGAAGTAGTAGCCACCGTAAGTACCAGTTTCGTTGTCAGTGATCGTCTCACTACGCTTCCTGATGTTGTTGACCGGGGCAGCTAGTGCAAGAGCAGCACATGCGGATGCAAGAAAGATGTTTTTGAACGAAGGCATAGTGAAGAGTTAATATCAGAACACCCGTAAATCTGATGTTGTTCGAGCTGACGATATTCTTCTTGTGAAGACCATCGATGCGTTACTTATAGTCCAAAGGCAAGTCGTCCTGGTGTTGACGTGCTGGAGCGATGAGTTCTGCGGATCGTCTCCGTTTGGCTTGAGCTCGACATTTGGCTAAATTGGAGGTTCCGCGGACGACTCATTTGCGACATACGATCTAGGGCTTGATCAACGGATGCAGACTTACGGGCCGGGCCAGCTCAAGCACGTCAGACATTCGGGCCAGGGACAGTACCGGCAATGAGTGTGGACGCAGTCCAAGCCCTTGCAGATGTGCTTGAGCAACGACAAGCTTTGCCAATTATCCCGTGCTTTCAATTGCAGGCTAAACAAAGGTGGAGAAGCAGTTTAAACAAGCTTCGCGTGGAAGTGTCGATCATGCGGAGGCCACGTCTCCAGAAAGTATTCCATGTCTCCGCGATGACTATCCAAGACTCGGACATCAGTCAATCTATTCTTGCATAGCCGTTTACCACTTTTGTGCTGGCTGCAGCAACACCTGGTCATGTACAAAAGTCAACTGATGTCCTCTCGAATCTCGATTAAGGAATGAAGTTCGATGATGACCCCACATTTCCCATGGCTGAGGCGGGGTTGACATCTGCAAATGTACGTACAAGACATATGAAACGCTCCATGTTTAAGCTGTTCAATTTCTGGTTGCGTAGTCATACTCCTTGCACCAATGCAAGGCTCGGCTAAATACTCATATTCAACTAGCTGCATCAACAGTGTCGAGCTTATCGAAGCAAGATGTCATGCTTGGCCGATCAGTTGTCCATATTCCCTAACCTGAACCCGAAGGAGATTCTGGATAGGCTTGCAAACTATCCGGAGAGATTACAACGCCCAAATGGCCCAAACAAAGAGTGCTCATCATCTTGAAGCAGCGACAGTATCCTGATGACTAGATATCTGGCGCTCGGCGAGCTCCGACAATGATTTCGATGCCTCTCGCAAGTTGGAGTAGTGCTTGCTCGTGGTACTCGAAGCTGACAAGTTCCAATCCAATAGGGAGCTCATCTTCTGTGAACCCTACGGGGACTGTCATCGCAGGCAAACGAGCTTGACTTGCCAGCAAGGTATTGACTGGAAAATCCCAACAAGTAGGAAAACGACCGTTCGTGGCATCTTCATGCTTCGGAGGTGGTATTTGCACATCTGGAAATGTCAGAGCATCAAGGTTCAATGAGGCCATCAGACAATCCAGCTTTCTCTTGAATTCATCCCGATCGAGTATCTTAGGAAGATACTCAGGGTCTTCCAGAGGATTCAGCGGGCCGTGTGCGATCTGGGACGTGAAACTAAGGAATTCTTGCGGAGCCTTTGCGGGAACGATGTCGGCCACGTCCTGTTGGAGGTGGGGTTTGGTGGCAAGAAAACTGTTGATATCTGTTCTAGACCGCTGCAGGTACTGTATGTGGGCGTAAAAGTCATATAATGCTCAAGTTTGTCAATATGAACGTCGATGAATGTAGTACCCTTCTCTTTCAGGGCCAGAAAAGCTTTGTTGATGACTTTGTTCACCGCCAGACAGTAAGGGTCCGAGTCCGGCCCAAAGAGCTGTCTTACGACACCAACTCTTGCTTGACGTGTCTTTTCCAATCCCTGATTCAGGTTTGATGCATAGCTACCTCCGAGAGGTAAGCCCAGACTCTTCGCCATAGTCGCTACGCCAGTGTAAGCATCTTGAGGGTCGAAGCCGACCATGCAGTCGAAGAACAACGCGCAGTCCTCGACAGTTCGTGCGACTGGGCCAGGTGTGTCTTGGACCTTGACAAGCGGGCAGAAGCCGGACCTGCTGATGAGGCCAGGGGTAGGTCGGAGTCCCACGAGATTGGTAAAGCTGGCAGGGCAACGAACACTGCCTCCAGTATCTTCGGCTACAGCAAGAAGTGCGAAGTTGGCTGCGACTGCAGCAGCGGACCCACAAGACGAGCCTCCAACGTCATGATCTAACTTGTAGGGATTCTTTGTCGGCACCCAATCACTGGCGGAAGAGTGGCTGAACCAAGTACTCGCCCACTCCGACATGGTTGTCTTTCCAAGGATAACCGCTCCTTCTGCCTTCAACTGCTTGACCAGAAACGCATCTTCAGTAGGTATGTTTCCTTTGCAAGCTCCAGATCCATACATTGTCTCCATACCGGCAGTGTCAGCCTGATCTTTAATCAGAATAGGAATCCCATGCACACGACCTCGAAAAGATCCCGTCTTAGCATAGTGTTCGTCAAGCTCTTTAGCTTCATCCAGCGCGCTCTGAGAAATGGCAAGAGTTGAGTTGATCTTGGGCCCAGCTTTGTCAAAGAGTCGGATACGCTCGAGGTAGGCTGCGGTGAGATCTACGGCACTACATGCGCCAATTCTGAAAGATTCATGAGCTTGGCTCAAGGTCAGCTCCTTGACCTTGAATGCGGCACCCATTATTCGCTGACGACGCCTGAGAAGTCCTGATGTGACTGAGAAAGTGTATGGATCGCGAAATACTGCGGCGTTCGCAAGTCTTGTACTTGCTACGAGTGTGCGGTGACGTACGGTCCTTCAGTTTATCTTAGCCGCAGACAGCCAAGCAGCTGCACTTGTATCTCGCCGTGAGCTTCTTTCCCGAGATATGCTCGCCGGCCGCCGGCGGTAGGTAGAAAAGATCCGTTATCTCGGCCAAGTTCGATTGGTTTCGAGATTCGGGGTCTACCCCACCAGTCGCCTTTTTGACCCCGCATGGTAGTCTTATCTGTCAATCTTCGGATATCCTTGTCGAGAGATCAGGCAGTCTCATATCGTTCGTTCTCAGTTGCAATTTGGAGGACAGTGCCGATTAGAATCCACTCGTCGCGGTAGCAGCAGAGTTTGGTTTTTCATCTTTGTCGCAGACCACAACAACCGATGGACTGATAATATATTCATTGGCACCCTCGCTGGCTTACATTGGGCAATCATTGACGGGCAGACATACTGACAACTGGAAGATCTGGTGTCGAGACGTCTACAAAGATCCATCTCCTACTTCGAGCGCCAGAGCCATTCCGCTTGCTTGATGCCACAACATATGGCAGTGGAACATCCATATGCCCGGATTGTCCGCTTGGAAGCGGAGAACCACATAGCCCCGACGCGGAACGTAGACAGTGTCACGCATCGGCGGGTCACTCAGGTTCAACGGGCCCCCTGGTGGTTCGATGTCCACATACGGATTGTATGAGCCCCAACCAAAATCCGCACTGTGTGAAGCCAAGACATAGAAGTTGTAGCCATGGAGGTGCCACGAGTGACTGTCCTCGTCGAGGTTGTTCAAGACGATATCAATCCAAAGCGGTCGTGATTTATCGTAGGGTACGTGGGGAACAAGCTGGTTGTTGTCCCACTGCGATCGGTCCACTGTGACCAGAGGAAGATTTTGAGGTGCCCACGAGGTATGGTTTACGAAACCATGCGGGACATTTGCAAGGTGAGAAAGCTTCGATGTTTTCGAGTACAGCACGATAGTCTGGTCGACTTCGTGAGCGACAGATCTCCTCCGGGAGTCATTCTCGACCGGATCACTGCGAGCTTGACGCCTCTCAGATCGTGAGCTCGTGTTCGGGAGATCTGGCCGAATCGCAAACTCATGCGTTGTGGACAGTGCAGGGTTTGTGTATTTGAAATTTTCATGACTCAAAGTGATTCTTAGCGTCAAATTGTCAACTTCTAGAAAGCTAGGCGAGACACAATAATCAGCTCTCTGCCCGGGCCAGATAACTTCCTCGATCTTATCAAGCTCTGTGGTGGTGACTTGATGTCCACCATCGACCTCTGATATTGCCATTTCATGTCCTGGAAAGTTCAGCTCAATGCCAGCGAAGGACCCAACATTCACTACTCGAAGCCTTGTTCTGCCGGTGGTTGGAAGGGACAAAGAAGGACGCTCAACAGAAGTGCATACAATAGGCCGTGCAGGAACCGCCATTGAGCAGTCATATGAACCGATTCCGTTGAGTACCATTGAGTCTGGTACTGGCTCGTTACCAAAAGATCCAGAGCTCATATATGTTGCCAAAACTTCCTCAGCAGAGCGATGATACCAGTCACCAACCAATAGGAGCTGTTCTGGTATCATCGAGCCGATGCTGCGCCTGGGGCTTTTCGACCAAGGTTTGTGAATGACCAGGCCGCCATACAGTCCATCTGCTCTCTGGATCTGATCATGTGCGTGATACCAAAAAGTGCCGTACTCGGATGGTCCAATGGTGAAATTGTAAGTGTATGTCTCTCCTGGTGCTATCGAAGCTTGAGTAATACCGACAGCACCGTCCATGGCATTAGCATTTCTCATTTGGAGACCATGCCAATGGACTGCGGTGTGTGATGCGTCCAGTGCGTTCTCGACTTCGACTACTATGCGATCGCCTGAGCGAGCCTCAATCGTTGGTCCTGGAAACTGTCCATTGATCAGGTAAATCAGTTTCTCAACACCATCAGGACTTTGTACAGCTGAGGTGATTTGCCATTTGTACGTGAGGGTATCTGATTCTCGTGAGGCGTGATTTTCGGGATGCAGCTGGATATTCAATGCTGTAGATGTTGAAAGTGGTGCTGACGGACGTGAGATCGCATCACCATAGCTTGCGTTGTGAGTCGTACTCGAGGTCTGCAATGAGTCTGGAATCTTCAGATCCCAGCGGAACTTTGCATCAAGAAGCACAAAAGTAATGCTCAGAACAAGCAGTATACAAACAACTTGTATGCAGTGCCGTACGCGACCAATATCTCGCTTCAATCCCGGCATCTTGCAGAACCTTGACAGATAGAAGCGATGCTAGAGTCTTTCACCAGTCAGTTTCCATTCGCCTCGCATCAAGGCCCTGAACTGCGTTGGGCCACGAGCCAGAACGAGAGATTGATGTTGTTGCGCAGATTATTAAGCTAGGAGCGTCGCAGCTGGAGCTCGGCGCACACGCCTTTTTAGTAGCGGATCGACAAGGGTTGGACGAGGCTTGAACTGACACACTGCTCCAATAACGACACTGATTGGCCAGAGCGTCTCGAAAACTTCTCGTATTGCATGCGCAAGACTAGCTGGTCTCTTCTGATGCGCGCACTCCGGCAGGATGGTCATTATCTCCGTATCTTACCCCCACGTGTGACGTCCAAAGTCGCTTGAGTGGTCAACACAGTCAAACCCTGGAAATCCCCGCACGTGTTCCCTTCGTATGTTATCCACCTCTCAAATTTATGTGGTAGATAGCAACATTATATATGAAGTCAGAGAGACCATGTCTGAATGACAGCCTGCCGCTTGAGCATTGCCAGCCTCTCGATTCCAGGCACATCGCAACATGTACAACCACGTCTCCTACGCAAGCATTGCTGCTCTGTTGAGCTGGCCGGCGGCTGCTGCTGGCTCTCTAAAGGACATAGATCACGTTGTCTTGTTCATGCAAGAGAATCGTGCTTTTGATCATTACTTCGGAACCATGGCTGGTGTGCGCGGATTTGCGGATCCCAACGTCCATTATAACAACGGCAGATCTGTTTTCCACCAGTAAGTGCCATGACAGAGTCTTGAGTCACATGCTGACAAGCCGCAAGAGATGTCAACTCGACTTTGACTAACAAGACGGACACTTTGCTGCCATTCTACTTGAACTATCTTGGCGGCAACTGGTCGGAAGCTACCCAGTGTCTGATTGCTGGCAACAATGGCTGGGACAGTAACCATGGAGCGTTGAATGCTGACCGAAACAACAAATGGGCACTTGCAAATACTCCTTGGTCATGGGGATACTTCAAGCGCGCTGACCTACCTGTACACTTTGCAATTGCCGAAGGCTGGACGGTTGGTGATATGTATCAGGTTCGTCATACCACAATCATCCAAAAAAAATCCATGCTGATTCAATTCTCAGGAGTCTGTAATCGCCTCGACGAACCCGAATCGTGTCACATGGATCAGTGGTTCCATCAATGCGCCAGGCTCTCCACAGGCTCCATCTGAAGGAGGCATCGTCATTGATAACAATGTAAGTACATATACTATGCTACCGAAACATTGTCTGACAAACGTAGGAAACTCCTGGATGCGAGGGGTCGAATCTGAACTGCTATCCTACCACATGGAAGACCGTGCCAGAATACTATCAGGATGCTGGTGTTTCTTGGCAGGTCTATCAAGACACGGACAAGTATGTTTCTGGAAGCCACAGAAGAAGATGATGCTGACAGTTGCAGCTTCGACGACAATCCTCTTGCATGGTTCAAACAATTCCAAGAGGCATCCAATACAAGCGCCCTGGGTCAACGTGGTATGGCTTACGTTGGCCTTGAAAAGTTTTACGCCGATGCTGCAGCTGGCACTTTGCCTCAGGTCTCATACATCATCGGTCCTGCTGAGCTCTCTGAGCATCCTCCATATCAGCCCAGAGATGGAGCATGGCTGCAGCGTAAGGTCGTCGAGGCTGTTGTCAACGGCAAGAACTACAAGAACACTGCGCTCATAATTAGTTACGACGGTAAGTAGACGTTGGAGCTATTTCTGACATCGCTAATTCTGCCACCAGAGTCTGGTGGTCTAGGCGACCACGTCGTGCCATACCATTCTCCCAATGGTACAGCAGGCGAGTGGATCGAGGATCCTTACAACGAGTACGGATACGTGTATACCGGACCAGGTATCTTTATTACCCTTCATGTCCAACCTACAGACGTTGACACAATCTAGGATTCCGTCTACCATTCTACATTGTCTCTCCTTGGACCCGTGGTGGCAATGTGTACACTGAGAACGCTGATCACGTATCGCAAATCAAGTTTGTTGGTTCGTTCTTATCCTGTTTGGTAAGACTCTTGACAATCGCAAGCTGAACAACATGCAGAGAAATGGCTCCAAGCAAAAGGTTACAACAATGTCGAAACCTCACAAGTCCCAGCTTGGCGCAGGCAAAACATGGCTGATCTCACAAACGCATTTGACTTCAATCATGTAAGTCCTGTTATCTTCTGCTTGTTCTTGCTGCTGATAATTCCTAGCCCGACTACAGCAAACCTGTTCTGCCTGACATCTCTGCTCCTTCAATGGATGCATCTGGGCAGTACAACGGATACTCCTTATGCCAAGCGAAGTATCCTCATGACTCACGCCCTCCTGTACCCTATGGTGAGCAATCTGAGGCATCAGCACTCGCCACTGAGCAGGGTTTCAAGGCAGTCCGTGGTCAACTCACCGAAGGTCGTTTCCTGGTGTTCGAGAAGAATGGTTTTGCCTTGACTAGCTCGGGTTCTGGAAGCAGCAGCTTCTTGAGTGCCACTCGTGCTAGCCCTATTCATGACGTTGTTGCTCAACGCTGGATCTTGCACCAGCTTAAGCAGGGTGGTAACCAATTTATCCTCGAGAGTGTACTAACCAGCAAGTGTGCTGCAGGCTTGAGCGACCTGAGCCCTTGTTCCCAATCAGCGCCAATCACCATCAATGATTTGGGGAATGGTATGGGACACTCGGTCCAAGTTTCGAGCGGACAGTACATTTCCATCAACAGGAACGGCAAAGTGGTGCTCACCTCGAAGGTCGAGGGATTCCGACTTTTTAGTGTTACATACAGCTAATCTCGGAGCTCTTCAGTATAGCCTGATTCATCATGAAGATACGTTCATCGAGTGTTGGGTTGATAGGTCGAACTCTACAGAGTGTAAAGATCATTGCGCATCTCGATAACGTAGTTGTTGAACCTTCATTTACGAGTCTCAAACAACAAACGATAAAGGTTTCTATGAGCCACGATAAGAAAAGTGTTGGAGTAGTAGTAGTAGTAGAGCTCGGAAGCTTATCGACTTCAAGCATATAGATACTCCGTTTCCCCTCCCTCATACGGCCATGTATGTGCTCTGTCGCCCTAGGTACCACCTCAGAAAACAATCACTGCTCGACCACTAAGTCTGCCAGCGCGCAACGAATCGTGCGCTTCCTGTATCTGATCGAACGAGAAGTTCTGCATGTTTATCCTCAACTTCCCAGCCGCAGCGAGACGGCAGACATCCTCCAGATCTTGACGTGTCGAGCCTATGGAGAGCGCAAACTCGCAACTTGTCGCCATGTGATTCCATCCCAACTTGACACTTCCGTCTTCATCCCTACAACCACAATACGTCCTTGTGGCCGAGAAAACTTAGCCGCAAGAGCAAGGGTTTGACCGCTACCGACAAAGTCTACGATGTAGTCGATGCCGTTGCCGTTTGTCATATCCAGCAGTTTTGGCCCAGTCGGTGCGTCTGAGAGAACAACTTTGTCGGCGCTTCACTTTTTTGCCTAAATCAAGCAGCTCTCGGGTTTTTCAATGGCGAAGACCTTTGCGGCGGACGATAGTTTGATGAACTGGACTCCATATGATCCAAGACCGCCAATGCCAATGCTTGCCGTAGTCGAGTTGGGCCAGGCTCTGTACCGCATGGTAAACCGCGACGCCAGCATCGGTGAGAGGTGCATACAGGCCGGGATCCTGGTCGCCAATGGATACCAGCTCGTGTCTAGGCACAACGAGATACTCGGCCAACCCACCATCGAGACCAGCACCGCGAGTCAACACGACATCTCCCCTTTTGTACGCCTCGCAATGCTGCTCAGCACCGCTAGTACAGAAGTTGCAGATACCACAATGTTTCAGATGGTGAACGACAGCTTCCTCACCGACTTTGAGGACCGAGCTGTTCTATGAAACCTGCGTTCTCATGTCCGAGGATATCGCCGGGGAAAATGGCGGAGGCCCAAGGGTCTGATTCAGGCTCTTGATTCAAGCATGTCCAGATCAGAACGGCATAGTCCAGCAGCTTTCATCTCGATAAGGCACTCGCCATAACCTGGTACAGGTTTGAGAACTTGAACATATTTTCCTGGCCGGTCCCACTGCTCGAGCTTGGATGCTCTCATAATGTAAGACTAACGAGGCAAAGATCAGAAGTGTTTTTGTGGTTGCTAGTGAATTGTTGATGGGAACGAAGCCATATTATAGAAACGAGTACAATGGCACCAAGGCAAGCCTTAGTCACGCAATCACGCAGTCTTGAGGTTGCCAAGCGGATGTTCCAAGCGGATTCGTGCCACATCTTAGATGAAAGGTGGATCAATAATCTATATCTGCTCAGGCCATACCTGTGTGCGTTGGAGCTCGAGATTACATGGCCCAAAGAATGCACCTCGGTTTTTGCGACCACTAGTGGGGTTCAAGAAGCACAGGTTTGAGGTGTCATTGGTAATGTCAGATCCGTGCGTTTCGGACCAAATGCTTGTCACAGAGTGTCGCAGCCATGCAAAGCGCTGCTCCAGGCTGGCGACTTCGGTGATGGCTTGGCTGCATCAACTTTGCGTTCTATGTTCTTTACGGACGCTTTTTTGGATGGTGTGATCTAGCATTATTGGGAATACAGGAATTCTTCAAGTCGACTTGAGTGTGGACTTATGGGACATTCATTTCCTGTGTGCGCACTACACACCAGCCTATCCAACTCATCAAGCGCCTCTCCCGGTCTGACCTTCTTCACTACACTTATATCCGGCATGATCGCAAACATCTTTTCACGATCGCGGGTCCGACCTTCGTGAGAGTTTGGGTCGTAATGGTAGTTCCCAAGATCACCATTCCATTCTGCCTTGCAGATCGAGAGCGCATCAGGCTCGTTGCCAGCTTTTTCTGCCACAAGAAAGAGTTTTCGATGCAGCTCGGGCTGCTGCAGGCAGTGATAGGGGAATTGACGTCTGATCTCGTGCCAGGGATCCGGGAAGTTGAACCAACCACCTACTCTGTGAAGTCTAGATTCTCCTTCGATCATGTCGATCCAACCTGGCTCTAACAAGTCTTGAATTGGGCCACCTTTGCGTTGTCAGTACTTGTTCACGCATCTTTATTGAATCACAACATACCCATCTCGACATTACTATACCATGCATAGTGCTGTTCGTCCGAAGGTGGAGCCGGCGAAGCAGCATCCCTGCTAAAATAACGCTGATTCTCGTACGGATCATCGCCGCCCCAAAGTCTTTGCTCTTCCTTCTTGTAGTCAATGAAGCTCATGTTTCCAATGTCGAGGTTGGCACAGTATAAGTCTGCGTCGTCGTATCCGCAGCGTAAGACGCCAATGACTGTTTGGGAAGTGTCTGTCATGACTTTCAGATCAACTACAAGGACACCGTTTGCCTGATAGTCACTTTGATCCACCGCAATAGAAAGAGTGTGATGAATCTTATCGTTCTCGTCGCGAAGTCGAATGTGGTGATCATAGACATCACGAAGAGTGCTATTTGAGAGGTCGGGTTCGGTCATAAGTATAGAGTTGCTTGTACTGTCTTCAGCCTCATTGATGTCGGTTTCAACTTGCTTGAGACTCGGTTCGTCGAATGCGACTAGAGAGTAGATTGGCCACTGGCCGCTTAGAGTGTCGCCGGCGCGATTGTGGTAGGAATCGCAACGTGGCAATGTGTCTTCTAGCTGTTTGGTGGACGCCATAGGAAGGTGTTGCGATCCAGTTGATGATTGACGTGGAAGAAATATGTAGAGTGCAAGCACCAGAGGGAATGTGGATAGCAAAAGAATGATAATGTCAAAAAGTGGATCTCAGACGCCAAGAAGAATCCTTCTGACAACACCGCCAAGCTGGATGTACAACCTGTTCTCTCTCTTTCACCAAGGCGGAAGTGATTCTCCAAGTAATACTTGTTTGATCGGCCCGTCTATCACAATCACTCGTGACATGATTTCGTGCTCACAGACAGACAGCGCAAGACAGCAGCTTTGACCCATACATAAAGATTGAGATATTTGGAAATTCATCTACTTCATGAGCACCGCTCCTCCATCCTACCACGATTGTGTGGTTCTGAATCCATCTATTTGACACATGCTCAAGATTTGCGGAATGACTGGATGGTCTTGAGGACAGAGCTGTAAGCAGGTTTCTTGTTGAAGTTCTCGTCCCAAAGCAATGCAGCACCCTCAGTGGGGAAGACACCAGGAATCCATGAGTACTTGTCCGAGATACCCTACATAGTAAGATCAGCGTTGTGCCTTTGGAAATGATCTGAAATTAGAAATGAAGGATGAGAAGCGACTCACCCAGATAGTGATTCCGACGCATTTCTTAACGTTGATGCAAGACTGGACCACTCTAGCATATGCATCTGCTTGTGCCTTGAGCTTTGCATCCGTGGCAGGAGTGGTGAATCTGACATCCAACTCCGTGTAGGCAACCTCGACGCCAAGGTCAGTGTACAACTTGAGCACATTCGTCAAAGTCTTCACGTCAGGAGTCACACCGCCGCCGGTGGATGCAGTGGCCTCAGAGCTCAAGTGTGCTTGTAAACCCACACCATCGATCTGGACGCCATAGCTCTGAACCAACTTGAGGATGCGTTGAGCACCGAGGGCCTTAGCACTGCCGTACTCGAGGTTGTAGTCGTTGTAGTAGAGCTTTGTTTTGGAGCCAGCATACTTCGCAGCGAAGCGGAAGGCAATAGGGATGAATGCTTCTCCGATAGTGTTGTAAAAGACTGAGCTACGGTATGTGCCATCTTCGTTGAGGGCTTCGTTGACAACGTCCCAGTGAGTACACTTGTTCTTGTACCTGCCGGCAACTTTCTTGATGTGGTTCTCCATGATGGAGATCAAAGTCTTGTTGTCAAAGTTACCTTGACTGACCCAGGCAGGCAGTTGAGAGTGCCAGACTAGAGTGTGACATCTCATCTCTTTGTTGTATCTGTCGGCAAAATCGGCGATTGCGTCGGCACCAGCGAACGTAAAGTTGTTACGTTGCGGCTCGGTTGACTCCCACTTCATGGCATTCTCTGGGGTGATAGAGTTAAAGTCGGCTCGCGATTGGATGATGCCTTGTTCGACGGGGTCAGTGCTGAAAGTGGATGGATTGGAGCTCCACTCCATGGAGTTTTTGGAGTTGGAGAGGAAGGCCCTTCCAACTCCAAAAACTCCATGGATAATCCATGGAGTTTTGGAGCTCCAATCTCCATGGAGTTTTTGGATATCCATGGATACTCCATATGGAGTTATTGGAGCTCCAAAGATTTCCCCAGATTGTCCTATGTCTTTGCGCATTGAGCTACTCAAGCTTCATTGAAATCATTCAAAAAATCTTTCACATACGATAACATCTCAATCCAAGGCTCAATACTATCAAACTTAATTGTACTATAATTATTATGCTATTCTTCAAGCTGTTGAATAGTATAACACTGTACTTAAAGGCAGCAAGGGTCATTTTAGGGAGCACATGCCCCTGGTCAGGGTGGTTAGGTTAGCAACCAACCTTGGGCTTTAACAACCCCCTTAATCGCCCTCCATCTTTTTTTAACCCCCTTAACTCCCTCAACCCCCTATTAACTACCTAGGGCTACTATCCCCACACTCCGCTTTTAGTTATGAATCAAGCTCACAAGCTCTCTTACACGCTCCGAGTTTAGTTGTGAATTAAGCTTACAAGCTAATTTTAAAGGCAACCATGCTCTAATTTTAGCTGTGAAATAAGCTTATAAGCTATTTCATAAGGTGACCATGCTCCGAATTAAACTCATAACCATTAATATTAGGCAGTTGCTTTCTTATCTAACTTAACAAATTCACAAGTATTAGGCAACAGCGCTTATAATCACTTGAGCTTCTTAATCACTGGCTTCTAATCTTAAGTATATAAACCTTCTCCTCTTCCACATTAAACCTCTTCCACTTCCTTAATATTCCCTCTTCCTTCTTTAACACCTTCCCTTCCTACTTCCACCTTATATAACCTCTTCCATCTTATATAACCTCTTCCATCTTATACAACTTCTTTAACCTTCTATAACTCCACTTATAATTAATTAACTCTTTACACAATGGCTCTTATTCTACGCGACACTAGCCATGCTGCCATAGGTTCTAGCCGTAGTAGTAGTGGTGGCGGCGGCAAGCCTCCTTATAAGCCTGGTAATAACTTAAACTCTAGTCATAGAGTTTAACTATTTAATAAGCTTGACTTAATCAACTACTGTAAGCAATCATCATAACTTCCTCTCACCTTAAACTTAACTAACTTTAAATAGTGGAATTAGAGCTGGCCTAGGACTTTACATTTGCTGCTCAATTCTTAAGATCTTTGCGCGCCCGTAAAGGTAATAACTTAAAAGTAGCCAGCTTTTGGGGAACTTAAATGGATCGCTTTATTAATAATGTTAATAACTCCCTAGATATTACTAACAACTTTAGATTCCGCACTAGCAAAGAGACCTTTATAGCTAGCAAAGGTGCCTACTATCTTCCAATAACTCTTATATCTAGAGCTCGCAACCGTGTTGTTCATAATGGCAACAGAGCTTATAAAGCTTGTTAAAAAGGCTCTAGACGCTTCATAGAATGCATTACTATTATAGATGGCAAGGGCAACTTGTTCTATGGTTCTTATACCAACTATACCTTTAGCAACTAGTATAAGAAGTGTAGCTTCTATGATAATAGTAAGTTTGACAACTAACATCCTTATTAAATAACTTAAACTAACCTTATACAATAGCTAGCAAGTCCTATACTTAAGGTAGAAACAAGGGCAAGTAACCTAGACGTTTAGCCTCTCTAAGAGCTAGACCTTTAACTTAATCTCGCCGCCGCTGTTTAACTCCTCTCTACTAACCCACTACTTTAAGACCTGACTTCCTAGTTACTGTTGTTACTCCCTTAGTTTAACCTACTAGAACTGGTCGTCATATTAGAATCCCTATGGTTAATCCTTAAGAAGATTTAGTTGCTTACATCCATAATGTTAGCTATAGAGTTACCCAGTACTTAAGTGCCTTGATAACTCTCTAAGCCCGCTTAAATGCTAGCCATGATGTTGCAGCAGATGACTTCCTTAAGACTTAGAATAATGATGAGTTTAACTTAGATTAAGGGCTCAAAAGCAGAGAAGTTAATGTAGGATAGGAAGTTACTTTGATGATTTTCTAGCTTTGAGATGTTTAAGGGCTTTAAGGGCAGAGAGGTTAATGCTAGACAGGAAGTTATTTTAATGGTTTCAAGCCTTAAGAATGTTTAAGGGCTTTAAGGGCAGAGAAGTTAATGCTAGACAGGAAGTTA